CACTCTTTCAAATCCTGGTGCCATTTCAGAATCTACCCCGTTCTCCTAACAGAAAAAAAGTACAGAAGCACTTGGAAGAAATTAATCCTAGAAGAATAGGTTATTTGTTGAAAAATGAAAAGCCTTTACCTATTTTTTAGGGATAGAAAAAAAATCTTGTGCTTTTTCATTTTCTTGGAGAAAAGGGGCACAGGCTTTACGGGACGTAGCGTGATGATGTGCATACATACATGCATGCTAAGCCTTTTCTGAGAGGACTTTTCTGTCTGAAATCTTCACGTTTCAATTGCTGAAAGTTCATTTGATAATGGTGTTACCCTCTTATTTCCTAGCAAATTATGAATTAATCCAGTGTTGCTGTAAACGTAAAAAAAGTAGATCCACTTCCTAAAACTGCACTATTTAGCTTTATTGTGAGGAGAGTTTAGAAAGCGCATTAACTTTTTCTTCCTTTTAAGTTCTGGTTTCAAGTGTTGTAGTACAAATTCTGAAACTAAAAATATTGCGTTTGCCTTCCTGGTCTGTTTTAAGTGTTGAAGTGAACTTTAGCACTTGTGCAACAGTTGCCGTTGGAAAAACATCGTAAAATCACTTGGCCTAATGATAAAATGCAGCCTAATTTTCTACCTAGAGTAGGAATAAGTTGTAACTAATTGAAATATGCTTTTGGCAGATCAGCTGTAGAACAAGACAGTCTACGCTGAGAGCAGAGTGCTCTCCCCAGCTTATTGGGTAAAAATAAAGCTTTGTGTATTCAGAGTTACCGTGCAATTTTTCCTTATCTTGGACTTCAGATAATTACACTATCAGATCTGGAATGTGACTACATTAACGCTAGATCATGCTGCTCAAAACTCAATAAAGTAAATTATTCTTCTTTGCATTTGATGTGGTTTAAGAAAACAGTCCTTTATCTTAGCATCACAGATAACAGGGGTGTGATGTATAACCGAAGAGCCTTGATTGGCCATATTTTGCATGTATCCTTTATTTCGGCCTGCTTGTCTTTTTCGGATGCCCGTCTTTCAGCAAATGCAGTCACGAAAGGCTGTTCTTCTGACCCTTGGTGCTCTGAGATGGGCCGCTACTCTGAATTCATGGGACTGAGACTTAACTTTTTGCAGAGCTCTTGAGTTCTGTGCTTTCGTTCTTGTAGGTATGCCACACCAAGGATGTCTACTCGTGACTGAACTCTGGGATCTTTATAGCAGCTTTCTCTGATGCTTCTGTATAACTTACTTCTAACCTCTCTTGAACAGCAGAGAGTTTTACTGTGATAAGGAAAAGTACCGTTTTAACCCAATCTGCTTAAAACTGATTTCATTAAATCAATGTGGCCTTCCCGCACGGGTGTTCACTTTGATTTGAAGGTATTTTCTTTCTTAATGTAAGAGACAATGCTACAGGATACAATCAAGCCAAAAATGTGTTATTGCCAGGTGCTGACCCAATTTAAGTATGTCAGTTTTCATATTGATTAACTTTCTTATCTGTTCCAAGCCTGAGGGTGTTTGTATGTGCTGTGTCTGTACAGATTTTAATTATCTGCCTCTGTCATTCCTAACCCAGTGTTCTCTGCAGCGATTTCAAATGAGCGATGTGTACTTTCTTAACTCACTGTCTTAAATGCTTGTGTAATGTAGTTGTGTGCAAACAGCTGCTGTGCTTCTGTCTAGAAATTTCTGTAACACTTAGATAAAGTACCTCTGTTATAATATCTTAGGGCCTGATTTCTGGCTTACTCACGTGGAATCTGTCTGAAGGTATTAATTTCCCCATATTGTGATGAAATCACATAAATTTTCTTCTTCCATGAATTTTCTGTCTGCGTTTGATACAATTAGAATCAGATGATAACTCCATACAGATCTTTTTTCAGAAAGGAATTTACATTTGTGCATATAACTTTTTTCTTTTCTTCCCTTTTTACAGTGGGTGGTCCCTGAGGTGATTGGCCATGCTGTTGTAACTGTATTAATGCTTATTTCATTGCACTGGTTCATCTTTCTCCTTAATTTGCCAGTAGCAACATGGAATATATATAGGTAAGTGCAAAGGGTTTTGTGTGCTTTTTTTTTCCACTGTTACTAGTTTAGCTTTAAGTGTAGCGTGAAGATAAATAATATGTCACGATGAGATGTTTCAGTTGTGTTCTTGAGCTGCTAACAGTCTTCGTGGATCTAACTAACATAAAACTCTCCTCTCATTGCAATTAAAATGACAAGAAACCCAACGGTGTAAAGGGCATGAAGCTTTTGGCCTTTCCTTCATTCTCTCTAGTGCCCAGGAACCTTGATTTGTGTCATTCCCAACTTCATAGGAAATAATAGCATGTTAATTGGGATTATGAAGTAGTACTGCAAACATAGCTGTTAATGTTTTTCATGCTGTGCCTACACGCCTGATAGTGATATCAGCATAAAAGTACTTAGGTCAGCATGGCTGATGGTTGTAAAACCGTCGGGCTGTGGTGTTATCCCCCGCACCCTCCGTCACTTACTGTCTTGTCTCTCCCCCTCATTTGCACTGTTTTTGGTCCCCCATCTTGCCTCTTTGTATTTGGAAAGGTTTGCAGACTTCTCATCTTATGACAACTGTCAGTGTTACCGGTCTTTGTATACTGGGCCGTCCACCACTTTGAAATGGTTTACTTATAAGTAGGGGTTTCCACATGGCAACTTCGGGACTGTCGGTTCAAAAATGTTCTTTTTATTTTGTATCATTTGATGTGCAGAGAATTGAGCTTTTATAGGTGTTATACTAATGAAAACTGGGTGTGGATTTGTCGCAAATTGCCTCTAATCACTGTACTACCGGAAGTCCAAAAGACCAAATGTTTAAGATATAGGTATGAAAAACTTGCCTGAAGCTGCTAGGCCTAACTCTTTGCAGGGATGGGTCGAGTTGCTGGTAAAATTAAACAAGATGTTTCATAGCTCTCATTAAAAAGAAGTTGAGGATCCCTTTACTGGGCCAAGGCCAACTGTATGAGATTCAACAAGGCCAAGTGCCGGGTCCTGCACTTCAGCCACAACAACCCCATGCAGCGCTACAGGCTTGGGGAAGAGTGGCTGGAAAGCTGCCTGGCGGAAAAGGACCTGGGGGTGTTGGTCGACAGCCGGCTGAACATGAGCCGGCAGTGTGCCCAGGCGGCCAAGAAGGCCAACGGCATCCTGGCCTGTATCAGAAATAGTGTGGCCAGCAGGAGCAGGGAAGTGATCGTGCCCCTGTACTCGGCACTGGTGCGGCCGCACCTCGAATACTGTGTTCAGTTTTGGGCCCCTCACTACAAGAAGGATGTTGAGATGTTGGAACGTGTCCAGAGAAGGGCAACGAGGCTGGTGAGGGGTCTGGAGAACAAGTCTTATGAGGAGCGGCTGAGGGAACTGGGGGTGTTTAGCCTGGAGAAAAGGAGGCTGAGGGGAGACCTCATCTCTCTCTACAACTACCTGAAAGGAGGCTGTAGCGAGGTGGGTGTTGGTCTCTTCTCCCAAGTAACTGGCGAAAGGACGAGAGGAAATGGCCTCAAGTTGTGCCAGGGGAGGTTTAGATTGGATGTAAGGAAAAATTTCTTTACTGAAAGAGTGGTTAAACATTGGAACAGGCTGCCCAGGGAAGTGGTTGAGTCACCATCCCTGGAAGTATTTAAAAAAACGTGTAGATGAGGCGCTTAGGGACATGGTTTAGTGGGCATGGTGGTGTTGGGTTGACGGTTGGACTCGATGATCTTGGAGGTCTCTTCCAACCTTAATGATTCTATGATTCTATGATTCTTGGGCAAAATAACCATGCATTTACCACTCTTGTTTTCTACAAAACTGCTAGCAAAGCCTTCAAATGTTTCTAAGCTGGAGTAACATGAGACAGTATAACTTGTGTGCTTAATAAACAAATGTTGACTAAAGGCACGGACAGGGGGATAGTTGTGTTTGGCCGCCTGTATGTGCAGTTGTATTACACACTGTTGCACAAAATGACCAGTATTCCCTTTGGTATCTGCTGGCAAGTATGGTGTTTGCCTTTGATGTTTCAGTTAGGCTAGGCTGTTTCTACAGAGACTCTAGAGAGAGAATGCATTTTCTTTGAAGGTTTGAAGATTTCTTGTACTGGTTACCCCTTACTTCCTTTTGCTTACTTATGTTAATGTTTAAAGTAGCTACTTGCTTTCCCTTCTAAACCTGGTCAGAGAAATATTGGTCAGATACAGTTATTTCTATTCCCACACTTCAGGCACTAAGCTTTGACTGCTGTTTTGAATTGACAGCTCTCACTTTATATTTGTCATACATGGGGTAGACAATATCCTAAAATCCAGGATTGTTTCCTCAATTTTAGATGCGCAGTGTAGGCAATAAATGAATATGACAATATGATACTTTGCCTGCCCTGCCACAAGAAATCAAAATGTTAAGCCTGTATCGCTAATCCTGCCTTCTTTCTGAGGATGGAGGAGTTTCACCCACATTAATAGCCTGGAATATCCCATCTATAGTGAAGGAGTTAAAAGTCTGCAAAAGCAAGTGTGTTGTTTAGCATTATAAAGGAAATCTGATGATTTGGGATAGAACATACCTTTGACCCAGTGTTCAACGGACAAAAGGTATGGTAGTCAGAAAACTGGTGGACTGTAAAGCAGTTTGAATACACTGAAGAGAGGAGGTGTCAATTACTAAACTAGGATTAAGTGGGAACAGATGAAGTGTTGAACCCATTATCATGAGCTGCAAACTTCCAGCATCAAGCTGAAGGTGTTTGAATCTTCTTCGTGTTTTATAGTATTTCAAGAACCGATTTCTGGAGTAAATGTTACTGCATATGAATTCAGAAAGGTTTAAGGTTATCATTCTACTCCAAGATGAATACAGAAATCAAAATAATTGTGTTGAGATTGAAGAAGTCTCTGCTTGGTAGTATATCTAAGTGATAATAGAGAGAAAGGTAGCATAGTAATCCCTTCCCCTTATTCTCTGTCCTTCAAAACCTGCTTAATCTTGATGAGTAAATGGTACAGTTACAGGCAGTATTTGCTTAATTTACTAATTGTCTCAGTGATTTCAGTGAGAGTAGAGAGGTTTTCTGTGAGAGGGGCAACAGAAACAAGTCCCTGGGAAGATAAATTGGTCAAAAACAGCATCAGGGAAGACTTTTAAAGTTGCAGCATGTTTATTGTAACATCCTACTGGCCCTTCTTTTTCAGCATACTCAGACGCTCATTTAATTTGGTTTATTTTTTGCTGAATTTTGTAGTGTCTTATACAATCTCCAGTGAGACATAGCTTTGTCTTACATTCTCCTTGTTTTAAAACTAGATACTGAAGCAGCTTATTTGAAATCTAATCATATTTCAAAATAGGTTTTTTTTAGTTCTTAAATATTTCTTAGACCTGCTACTTTGTAAAAGAAGTAAGAATTACAAAGGAAATGTTGAATGTGACTAGACAAAAAGAAAGCAACTCTTAAAAAAAAAAAAAAGTGGAACTTCCCTTTTCTTCTTTGTTATATAGACATGCTTGAGATAATAGGTCAAAATAATGTGATTCTTGTCATGTCTTTAAGTAGATCATACCACTCTTAAAGCCGAAGGAGTTAAAAAAAAAAAAAAAAGAAGTAAAAAATTTTAAAAAATCTTTAAAATACAGTGAAAATTCTGACCAGGACTATCACATCCCTTACAAAATTGTGTAATCTAGAGGGAAGTGTCCTGTTGCTGTGGCAGCCATTTCCACTGAATGGAGATACTGGAGGCACTAATGTGTATCTGCATTAAAGCTGACAGCGTTCTTGTTCTCTGTGGTTTTGCTGCAGAATTTTTTGGCTGTTTAGAGTACGACAACTGGCATGAGCTGTGTTTGTCAGCATCTAGCATCATTGTGTCCATGACTGCAGTTCCTTAGATGTGTAATATAAGCTGTGCTGGCTTGTGGGTCTCTTGGAAAAACTACCTCCCAACTTCCACAAACTTTAAGTTGCATCATTTAAGTGTTATTATTCTTAAAAAACAAAATTAATACTACCTTTATGGCAATCATATCCTAGAGATGTAAGAAAATTATGCACTCTATTTCTAGGATAAATTGGTACAGGCAACTTATATTCTTCCTTTTATTCTGATAAAATGCATTACAATTCCATTAAATGGACAATAATTTGTGTTATAATACTAAAAATAGAACCATCGCTTAAAACTTCAAATTTAGAAGAGACTTTCAAACTGTAACTATTTCACATGAACTATTTTCAATGGGACATAATTGTCTTTGTTATTAATCAAATATGCTGCAGTGCTTTTTAATGCCTCTGTGAAAAACAGACAAATACTGTGGCCTTAACTTTTTTTTTTGGGGGGGGCCTCCTGCTGCTGCTAGAAAACTTGTTTCTTGTTCCTATTATTGAAATGAATGCCAGAGGTGGGGGAGTGCCTTTTGGAGTACAAGTGGTGCCATTCTTCAAGTACATAAAGAAAATCAAAAAGTGTTCTGAGACCTTGCTTTTGCTCCAGGTGTAAGACCAGGAGTTAAATTCCTGTGTAGAAAGAGTATTATTCCAGGAAGGTAGAGCCTGTATAACATTTAAGTGAAATAATAACACTGTTCTAGGCTGAGCTCAGCTGGAGTGAGAACTTCATGTGCTTGCATTTGCTCTCTTGAGAAATGCTTAAGACAAAAGAACATGCTGCTTGTTGAATTTGCACAGGACATAAACATTTGTTTTGCTGGTTTTATTCTTCCTTTTGCTTACGTTTCACTTTGTTTCACTCAGTTTTTGTTCTTATGTGGGTTTGGACAGCAGTACTTAACTCCTTCAGTTCTGCCCCGTCTCTCATCCCGTCAGCCTCAGTGTCTCTGCTGCGATAACGCAGGATGGTTGTGACACAGATGGGAATCGTACACAGATCCTTTGTCTTGTCTTATGCTATCTCATTTTGACCACTGGAGTTTGTGATTATCTATGTGGGGTTTTTTTTGTAAATAAATCACTAATTCAGAGCTAAACTAATTCTTTTCCAGTCCCTTTCATCTAATGTATCTTTCTGCTGTGGTTGGAAATTTCCTTCATAACACCAAGTAACCACGAACAGCAATTAAAATGAACTGGAATCGGCTATTACCTGGAAACTCTCGCGTTTATACACGGGAAGCTGGGCTGATGCTTTTAGTACTTCTTGTTCTCTTACTCTTTGTGGGTTGTAGTGGCAGAGATACACGCAATATCCTGAAACTGAAATAGAATTAAAAAAGAGCTCCCCTATGTTGAATTGTGAAACAACTCTTTAGATGAAAGTCCCTTCTGTGCCAGCTCTCTCCCTCCCCTTCCCCTGACACTCCCTAATGTTTTGATGACAATGCTTCTGTTGGGTTTGTTTTTTTTTTTCTCCTAAACTTTCAGGTACATTATGGTGCCAAGTGGAAACATGGGGGTATTCGATCCCACAGAGATCCATAACCGAGGACAACTGAAGTCACACATGAAAGAAGCCATGATTAAACTAGGCTTTCATCTGCTCTGTTTCTTCATGTACCTTTACAGGTTAGTTTCAAAAATTGCTCCCAAGGAATAAAGGAATTGTCTGCCAGCTATTTTTATCTCCTCTATTCTGCTAGTGTAATTGCTGGTATTCGTAAGTGTCTTATCTTTTTGCATCCTGCTAAGCCTCAATAATATATTTTGACAGCTATCTGCAGGCTCATTATATGCCTTTATTCTTTCTTATCAAACATTGTTTGGAAACTCAGACTACTCCTTAATCTCAAACCCACTGTAAGTACAATATAAAGAGTTACAGGATTTCTGCACCTAGAATAATTATCCTACTTAGAATGGAAATCATCTTGAGGACCAAGTTTATTTTACAAGTTCTGTTTTAGAAAATAAGGTTGATCTGGCTGAGTTAGAAACGGATGAGTTCTGTGATGGGGCCACTTAACTACAAGATGGAAGAGGTACTGTTCTTCTACTGCAGTAGTACTTCTGCAGTCCTTGTCTTCATGAGCAAAGCACATAGCATAGTTGCCTTGACTTTCTATTTCAGAATCAAGTGCAGTTCTCTCATGAAAGCGATAGCTGTTGCTACTTGCACGTGCTTCAGTAATCCACTGGTATCATGTTTTCTGTTTTGTCACAGTATGATTCTGGCTTTGATAAATGATTGAGAAGTTGAAAAAGAACCATTAGCTGCCAAATTGGGTCATCACTCCAGTGACTGGTTGTGGAGCCACAGACACCTTCCGAACATACCTAATCAGTGTCATCATGCAGTATATTTTTCCTCTTTGAACAAGAAATATTTTTCTGTATTTTTAACATAAAATATTTTCAAAAGACATTGGATTTGTGTAGCGGTTGTTTTTGTTCCTTTACAACCCAAACTGCTGGAGCTGCTGCTTCTGTAAGGTGAAATCCTTGCTTACAGAACTGATCTCATAGGAATTAAAAGAAGAAGGGAAACCCATTTTATCAGCATGGGCTAATAATAGAGGTAGTTCCAGAACAAATTTAAGCGCAGCTCTGATGTCTGCTTCTTACTGGAAGGTGTCAGGACGTGCCTCTGGCTGTCAAGCCGCCCTATTGGAGCCTAGTTTGAAGCAGTGCTTGGAACATAGATTTCGAAGAGGAACAGTAGCACAGCTTGTGTCTTTGTGTCAGTGGTTTTTCCAGCTAAAAAGCAATGGAATAAAAGTTATGCTTTTCTCCCTTTCCCCCTCCAACAACCTATATGAAGTCTTGTGTTTGGATGGATTAAGGTCCCTTTGGTGAAGGTGAAACTTGTGTGCAAGAGTGAAAAAGAGATAAATAAGAAACATTATTATAATATACTTGCTTTTTCCCTTCAAATCCTATTTTGTCATTGAAATACATCATAGACCTCCATACAAAGTAAACATCACATTGCACCAGGGTTGGAGTTGGTTACAGAGCAGAAGGCTATCTATCTGCAGTCACTGCTCCATGAACCTGCTGTTTCCATACCCAGTCAGGTGAATCAAGAGTAGGTCTAGCTCGGGGAGGTGGTCTGGTAAACCATAACCCAGTTATCCCAATTCTGATGTGACTCTGCTTCAAAGACACCAGCGTATCTTTTTGTGCGGTTCTTGCATCAGTAATAAGTATATAAACCTGACTTGGTACCCTCACTGTCTTTACATTTTTTTATAGGCGCATAGAAACAGTTTCTTGAAACAAACACCTCAAGTGAAACACTTAAAATACAGTTCTGTAATTAAGTCCTAAAATTTATGAGCTTTTCCTTCTTAAGTACTTGTTCTTTGGTGTATAGCTGCAGTGAGCAGATTGTTTTCATGGCCAGCAGCAAAAAGAACACTGGAGCTTGATTTCTCTCGATACCTTGTGTTCAATGTTTGTTCTAGGAAGAGTTTAGCTTTAAATTTATGATGGATGGAGTCCAAGTTCAGCTGTTGTGAAGATGAAAAACTGCTGAAAATTATGCTCATGAGACAATAACTAGGGAAATGGCTACCCCAGCTGCATGCCACTGACTGCTTGACACCACAAAAATCAAACTACAGAAAGTACTGCCTTATAAAGCTGAAACCCAGACAGGACGTAGGTCTGGAAAACAGAGAGCAAATTAAAAGAGGGAAGTCAGTAACTTTTGTAGCAGCTTAACTTAATTGCCTACCATGTATCTTATTTGTACATGAAAAAACATGCTACACCTATGATGGGTTTTATCTATTAGAATAAATGACAGAGTAAGCTGCTTGAGTTAAATCCTTGCTGTAGTGCTAACAGTAGATAAATTTCATGGCTGATGTTTCACACTGAGGAATGTGATCATTAATCTGTAAGTCCACCACTTAGACTAGCAGTTTTATATCTTATTCTGAAGACATGATTTTGAGATGAGAGCTTTATTATTAATGAAAATGTTTGTCAGATACATTGTCTTCAATGATTTCTAACTACTAGCACTTCAGAATTACAGTGATGATATTGGATAGGGTAGACCCATTCCCTAACGGCATTGGTAAAATTTATCACTCACTATGAAAAGCTTCTATTCCTCTCTACCGAGGGAAGTGTTTCTTCAGAGATGGGAGCAGGACAAGGAAGGATAAGGGAAACGAACAATATATGAAAAAAAAAAAAAAAAAAAAAAAAAAAAAGGGGGGGGGGGGTAGCATATGTCTCAATTTATATCCCTGACCTAGAGGGATGTTACTGTGGATTCCTCCCCGCTTTCTTCCTCGAGAATGAATTATTAACCATGATAGACCAACAAAAAAACCCAGATATTTTTTCTAAGTGGTGGTTGTCAAACAAGCTATACTTTTATATGAATCCAAACTTCTCACCCCACTTTTTTAATATAAATAAATTCTCTGTTCATTCATATCTAACAACGTGTTATAATAGTTGTAAAAACCTCAGTAGCAGGCTCGAGAGACTACAATTCTGCTGAGTAATTACACCGGTAATTTTGAAGCTTTCCTTACTGTACAGGCTCATTTCCTGCCTTTACAGAGATCTTCACAGAGCTTAGTGTCAACAATAGGAAAAATGTATTTGTAATTGCTAAAAATGTAGTTCATTAGCTGGAAATGGGGATCCTACAGTCATCTATTCGCCGGGACATCCATAGAGCATAGAAGTCTTACAGTAGTAAAAATGAAAACAAACTCCCTGCTTTCTGGGTCTCCATCAGGGGAGAACAGGGTAATTTAAATCCAAGCTTACTATACAGAATTCAAGACAATTACAAACTTTAGACTGATTTTAAATAAAAATTCACCTAGCTTTATCACTGTGAATCAGTGAGAGACCGAAACAGAGATTCCCTCCTATTCACTCACCAGAATGTACTTCCCTGTGGAACTGAGGTATCCAAGTATAACTTCATGAGGGGACCATTAGCTTAGCCTTCAAATGATTAGCTATGATTTACAGAAAGCTCTTAATCCGTGAAAATAAATCTGAAGTTGGCCTACAGGGATTCTAACTTTTAACCGAGGTTATTAAGCTCTTTTCCTTACGCACAGTCTAGCGCCTAGTCAGCTTGCTAAGATATTAGTTGTTCCACAGTTTTCAGAGAGATTAGATAGCTGTTATAGTACTGCACTTGGGAGGGGGGGATTAGTTAAAATATGTACAATAGCATATTTCCCCCTAATTAATCATTACAGTTACAGACTGTTCATTATTTATCTTGTTTTATTGAAGAATATACTTACCTCCTCATTCTAGTGAACTACTGTTTTTTTCTAAACTAGTTCTGTATTATGGAACTTAGTAAATCAGTGGGATTAATAGTATGACCACTAGTCCTAAGAACAGTTCTACATGCAGGTTAACAATCAACCTGAAACCCTGATAAGCCCATAAAAGCAGATCTTTCTGTTCAGTACTGGCATAGCTTTAATCTCATTCTTTTTCTCACAAGATGCTCTCTAGGATTTTGTACGAGTGGTAAGAAAAGACCGTTTTTGCCTCTGAGGATATTATGGTAACGATGAGATTGGCGGTGGCGATAGAAAGATTTAGGCTATACTGACCACCATGCTGTTATCAGTACATTAACTGCCTTATCTTTGGCAGAAACCTTAGAGGCACACAAACTTCAGTGGTTACTCTTCAGAGCATTCTAGGTCTTTTAAAGTGAGGAGACAACTGGGACTGCCACCTTTCTGTAATGAGTAGATAGCCTAAGCATGTGCAACACGCGCGAAGTAGCAGAGGGATGCATCAGGCAGCACAGAAAGCATAAGCCAAGGTGTAAAGCGACAGAGTAAAACAGAAACTGTCTCTCTGGAGAAGTACCCTACCTAATGATGAAATGCTCATCTGCTATCAGGTTCCTTATGTAGTTTCTTTTAAATAATCTGGAGGGTTTAAAAAAAAAAAAACCCAAACAAAAATCCCAATTAATTTTAAGTCTCACATATGCTGAAATTTCACAGTTCTATAGAAATCATATACCTGTTTCTTCCCACCAGTTAAAGGCAGACATAGGACAGCAGATGAAACACAGTAACAAACCCAGCCAAAAAACTAACCTCCTTCATCTGCTGCGTGGATTGTTTATGGCTGAAGCAGGTCTGCAATCTAACAACCCTCCTGCAAATACTAGTACCCAAGGAAGCACGTGGAAAGGGGTAAGGCATGCCCCTTCTGTTCACACCTGCATTTAAGCCATGATTAGCTACGCACTGCTCAAAGAGTAATAATAAGGTTAATACAGAGGTGCTGCTAGAGGGAGTAAAGACCTTTTCTAATCGATATAGAAGCTAAAAGAATTTAAAAATTGAATGCATTGCAGCAAAAGGTTTGAGTTTGGAAAAGTCACAGGAATGGGAGGGCAAATTTAGGCACAGCTTTTTATTTAACAGAACAGTAGCTAGAGCTGAATAAAAATGCCTAAAATGCAGGACAAAGATGAGGTTCTGTTTTAAGGCACAGGGAAGAGGGACAAGAACGCAGGGTCGGCTGGAGGGAACGAAGGCAACAGTTGAGAGGTACCTTCAAGAGCTCTCAGCCACAGAAGCCGCTTAGGTCAACTTCAGATAGAAGTCTGGAGGTCCTTGGTCTCCCATTTAAGAAAAGCCTAAGCAAGAGATGCAAGTACTTTAGGGGCACCTTCTTAATATGAAGTATCAAAAAACCCCCACAAAACCCACCGATCACCTAAGGCAACCTGTGTCTGGTATTTAAGCAGGCTCCAGCATTAAGGAATCCAGGCTTTCACTGCGCCTCGAAGGAGCAGATGTTCAACAAGTTAGATAAGCACGGAACGGGACACAGGCAAGTCCACTGCTAAATGTAGTGAAAACACAAGCGTGAGGTAGGTTAGAGCCGAGCACCAAGAGCTGGAAAGCCTGCACACAGCGCTGAGTGAATTCATCTTCGGCTAAACTGCCACAAATTAATTTTCCTAGCGAGGAAGTGAAATACTACAAGTATGGAAGAAGTCTATAATTAATGATCAAGAAATGAACATCCAAGTCATAGTCATGTAAGTGAAGTTAGGGAAACTAAGAACTATTCATTCCAGTTATTTATTCTGTTTATTGAATTGAAAGAAAGGGAATACAAACATTTCTGTTAAGTGCTGTGCACCAACATGGAAAAAGTGTATTTTTTTTTTTAAAAATCCTAATAAAAACAAATCAGAAGTTAATGTAGTTCCAATTGAACAATTTTTAAAGATATGTTTAAAATACTAGACATTTATAAAATAAAAAAGTTAAAACGGTGTTCTGTAAATAATTAGTAAAACAAGTGAAAATAAATACGAGACCCAAAAGTTCTTATGTTTTTAATGTAATATAGCAAAGAAATTTTTAACTACTTAATATAATCCGAGGAGAGTAACAAAAAATCCAGAAAGTTTAAGAACGCAATCCTTTGAAACATTTAATATCAGTCCATAGCAAATAGTCATTACATACCAAAAGCTCTAAGTGTTAACTAGTTCCACCACAACTCCATATAAATCTTGACAATTTAGAAATCTTGAGATCAACAATAAAGTTCTTTTCTTGATCTCTACAGCTTGGTTTGTAAGTACATACATGCTTTGAGGATCCATTTTGTCCCATGTGTTTTCAAGGAGCCAATAACTTTTTCCATCTGTGCCTAAAAATGTTAAGATTCAAATCTAGCACATATACCCTAACAATGAAAAGTGTTTAAGAAAAAAGATGGGGCACAATGAATTTCAAATTTATAAAAATATACTGATATTAACCAAAACCTTCTGGTCAAAGGACACTTCACATACACACGACTTAAAGTATGCAATAAAACATGACAAGTACCTAGAACATTCGGTTCTCTGTCTGTTTATGGAACACATGCACACGCACATTCATACCAGATGGGAGGAACACTCTCACAGACGTTTTATTGAATCCAGATTATCTGGATTAATAGACAGAAAACTTGTCTACAGTTTATTTCAACAACTAAGAGGCAGCTACTGCAGCAGTAGTTCAACACTGCACACTTCAATTAAGTCCACCCTGTTCAAAAAAGTGTCAGAGTTAATGATTTTTTTTTTTTCTTTCTAAACATCATTAAAAGTAGCAGTTTTCAAAATTAAGTATGGACTCAAGCCAATGTGGAAAAGACAGGAGGAGGTCAAAAGGAGGATTAGCCATTTTTGGGATGGGTGTTCCTCTTAATAGTTGTCTCAAAAAAAAGTTAGATACAAGTGTATTTTGTAGCTAAAAACATGGACAAACTATTGAAAGTGCATTTTTCCTCCTCCCCCTTGAGTTACAGTAGTTTGTCTGTTGGTCAGTAAATCCCGCTTCTTATGTCCATTCTTCTTGCTCTACTTCCCTCCCCATTTGGGTTTGGGAGATGTTGTAACATCTCCCCTCAAACTACGTCTAATTGTACGAGTCCTGGTTTCCTGCTAAGGAAGCCTTCAAAACCAATTTTGGGTGGGAGTATCACTTAGCAGTGTAAAAGTATACAACTAGACACAAACTCCCAAGAACATACTGAGTTTTATTAAACATTACCTGTTTGAAGCCAAGCTGAGAAGTAACTGGCAAGATCTGGATAGATTTCTAGCTCGCACATCTTTGCTCTAATCATAAAGAGAAGTTAACTTTAAAGTTGGAGAACTTTAGAAAAGACAGAGGGAATTTAAAAACAAAGGTGTCATTTCCCCCCACTACCCTCCCCTCCAAAACAAGGACAGATCTAGCATTTTCCCTTTTGTGCTCCATTGTGCCTTGAAAATTACTTACCTGAACAGCTAAAGAACATTCAGATAATAAAATGCTTCAGCGTATTTTTTTTTAAAGATCTGCCTTGACAATAACCTGGGGCTACTGTGGATATTTTAAGCCAACAGCTGACCAGAGAAAGTTACAAAAGGAGTACATGCTTACAGTATTTTCCTCTCTATAAACCATACGTCTGTTGACTAGAAATACAGTAATTTATTGCGGGTGTGTACTTGTTCCAGCCTTAGACTCCAGCCTATGAACATTTTTAAGCACATGGAAAGCAACGTGTTGCAAATGAGCAAACTTGTTTTTTTCCCCCCCCCCCCCCCATAGTCTCTTTTTATAGTCTGTGCACAAAAAGTATTGGTACTTTTCAATTCACATATTATGAATACGTGACATGTTAGAAATAGCTGAGGTTCCTCTTCAATCTACAGGTTGGAATGGTAGTCATTACCGCTAGATCTATAATGTCGGTTTACTGCAGGACCAAGTAGCATGGCAAAAATGAAGACTACTTTCCCCTTTCTCTCGTGCCTGCTCATCGCCTGTGAGAAGCGGGCAGCTATGCAATACGCTATGACTGAGGCGCTCTGGACACAGTGCCGTCTATACGGAGCTCTCCTTTACATTGCGTAGTTGCACCACGAAACTAGTGGAGATAGCAGAACACATCCTTCTCCCTAACTCTGCTTCTAAATACCTGAAGTGTATTTTAGAGGTACAAACCAAGTCCAGAAGAGAAACCCCAGAATGGAGGGGCAGTATTTTGGCAAAAGTACGAAGTTTAAATTTTAATTACAATGCGTTGCAGTGGAAAGTAGGCATCAGCCCATACACAGCCCCACACCCCCCGCAGCTTGTACCAGGTAAGGAGTCTCACTTTGTTTAGGTATGGCCACCACATTAAAAATGCTTGTTGAATTGCATATGAGACTTTCAATCTAAACTTGAGATTTGATCCAGCCTTCACCACCTCCCTGAAGTCCCACGAGTACGAGGTAAGCAAGTAGCACCAGACCATTGTACGAGACATTGTTAAGAAACATCAAAACCAGGATTATTCTCCTTACTCTCCCTAAATAACATTTTGTTTGAAAACATAAGTTCCAGAATAAGACAATACTAGGGTAACTTCCAAAGACTCACACACTGGCATTGGTTATGAATTATACCATGTTTTGAACGTATAAAAAGTTGTTCACAGTTTAGGTATTCAATTTTTATTTAAAACCCAAAGGTTTAGCTTATTCAAATTTGACCTTAGGAAGTTTTCTGTTTCCCTGCAACACTGACGCCACAGGAACAAGACTGACTCATCTTACACTGTCTGAAATAGGAAGAGAAACAAACAGCTTCCTCTAGAACTAGCGAATGGAAGAAGGAACTGATTTGTAGTCTTTAAGTTCACACATGTATTCCCAGTACTGTGGAACAGTAACTGCTATCAAAGAAATGCACCTTAATTTTGAGACAAGTGTACTAGGTCGAAGATAAGAAGGTTAAGTTCCTACTTCATTTTGGAGGTACTAAGAGAGGAGTATGTCAGATTCAGGGCTGGTCTCAACCAAAGTATCAGAATCTTAAATCGTGTTTAAGTTTACACCCAAGGCAAGAAAAAACCCCACCACTCGATGGCTGGAATCTAAAAGAGTCTAACCTGCTACGCTTCACTTTGTTTTTCTGGGAGAGAAAAACGGGACTGTTTATGTTAAACACCGCACTCCCATTCATCAAAGTGGCTACACTTCTCTTCCCAGGAACTCCGGCAAACCTTCCCCCACCCTTCTTCCACACGTGACTAATAAGGACACTAGATTATTATCTCATTAAAGGATGAAATCCACACTTCTGTTCACATCAGTTCTCGGTGGCATGCCTTTCCCTGCTCCCTCTTGACTTCACAGCAGTACCAACGCTACCTTTCCATCCTAGGTGGCAAAAGGGAATCCAGTGCCATCCCATAATGAATTTGTGTGTAGAGCAGAAGCACAGAGATGCCAGGCCACCTGTTTATGTCAGAAAGAATAAATACTTCCATTATAAATGTCTTTCTTTTCTTAACACGGGATATTACTGGAACTAATCCTAGACGTGTCAAGATGTTCACAGCACCAGCTTGCAACAAGGTCTGGGAGAGGCATTTATATCTGCAAAGTTAAAAGTATATTCTCAGAAAGAAAAATCTATACACCTTTGTTTATCAAACAAAGAAAAATTTCCATTGTAATACAAGCGTTTAATTATGATTTGTATGTTAATTACTTTTACAAAATGTTGACTTTGTGAAGAAAGGATTCAACACATTCTTCCCTCGAGATGTAGTCTACCTTTTACCAGCACTGTTGCATATATTTATGTAATTAAAAAAACAAAAAGACTTTGTCTTGTTTAAACTCTTAGCCTGGTGGTGCACTCTGAACGCTTTTTTTCTAAATATCTGTAAAGATGGACAGTGAGTTTCTCCTTCTAAAACAAGCTTCACTGCCTGCGTAAAGCTCCTTCCAGCCACTGCTTTTGATTGGGTCTCAAGACACTCCGGAAAAAGCATCAGTGATACCGTGTTTCATGACACTTCTTGCATTGTTTTAATTCCAAATGTATACAAATGAAGTCATTTTAATCCTATAAATAATTTATTTTTAAAAAATTGTGCTGTTAACCCCTTTGCAGGGCAACGAGCTATGTGAAAAGTACAAAACTTTTTGTCAAATGTGATACTGAGAGTGCTTTTGACATAGTTCATTGGTTTATCATCTCAATTTATATATACTGCGCAACGGGCAAGGCTAGAATCCATGAACCAAGCTGCAAAGATCTCAAGCTAAGTAAGGCGGAGAGAGACTTGAGAAACAAGAGAAGGAAATACTTTCCTATCCACTGTATACTCTTCAGACTAAAGCACTCTTTCTATCAAGCCTTCTAAACTGTTAAATAAAGTGTTCCAAACAAGCATTTAAACTTCATTACACAGAAGAGCAACAAGAACAGTAGCCTGCCAGACAAAAAGGCAGGAGGGAAAAATATATATACTGAGTTCAATGGTTAGCCTGAATGTAGCACAGTTCTTCACAACCGATGGGGGGGGGTAATTTCAACACGGTGTCCAACAACGCTCTAACGACGTGCTTCATCTCAACTGGTTACTATGAAGCAAGGTGGTAAATGTTTGGCCCCAACCGGGCTTCAGAAATGGTTCTTTTTCATGACGAGCATGTCTGTCCAGCTATCAATCATGTTTGTTTGCACCAAATCCCAAGCCATTTAAAATACGACTAATTAAGTTAAACTGAAGTCGTCTGCTCCAAATTCGCCATCAACTATCCATGCTACTGCATTCCTCTGAGCAAAAACAAAAACATAAGAGAAAGAAATCACACCTTGAAGATCTTATCGGTAGTTAATATTTCTATAAGGTCATTAATACAGTATATTTACTTAAGTTTTACTGAACATGCAGTAGTTAATGGATCTTATACTGTAACTAAAATCCCATGCTAAGAGTTACTTATTTTAGATATCATTATTCATACTAATTTAGAGATTAATTTAGCATGTTAGGTGTTGGTACACAAAAAGCATCTCTTCCAAAAAATAACACACATTTGCATTCAAGCTCCAGGGGAGTGTGCTAATTACAAAGCTGTCTGTCATCCATTTAAGATTCCTAAGTTGTTAGGTATTATTCCGTGCACCTACACTTCTTGTGGAAGCACTGCTGTGAGAAACCCATTTTCTATTGTTTTGATTTTTATGGTGTTTACCAGCTCATTTTCTGGAGGAGCTAAGAAAGAGTGAGCAAGCAGCTAGTTGGAGAAAACAAACAAACAAAACCACGAGTAAAACCAACTGGAGGATAGGCTCTGAGTCCTTATGGAGGTGTTACAAACAGGAGATTGGCCAGGCTGGTCCACCTAGTCCAAGACCAGAAGCAGATGCGTCAGAAAGCACAGGAGCATGGAGAAGAGGTAGTTCTTCCTCCTAATACCCTTCCAACTTTCAGCCATTTTCACCCAAGGGACATTCTGAACTAGAGGTGTTTACTTATCTAGTAGCACTCAATGGATTTCTCTTTGATTACTTTGTCCTGGTTCCCCTTGAACTCATGTCCACGCCTAGTATCCCTGAGGTCCTGTGGCAATGGGAAATGCTGTATTTCATTTTAATGTCTACCGTAAGTTTTTAGCACAAGGTTGAATGTGTGATGACAGAAGCGCCTATAAACTGCAGAACAACCTCCCAGTGGTCATCTCGTTAACAATTCAGGGGAGGTAAGAAGGGTTGGGAACAAGTGTGCATTTTGGCAGCGAAAAAAGTTGCACTGTCTCTCTCTCTCCTGGACACAGATGATTGCTGATGGTTAGGAAAGAATCAATTGTGTACAGGTTTTACAGTGGGGAAACTTCACTCTCTCCAGACTTTGGAGATTCCTTTTGTAAGCATTGTAATCCCATTATTCAATTTGCAGTGTGGTCAGAATGCATTATTTAAATTTTAATAACATTGTATGTTATTAAACCTCAAGCATTGGAGGTAAGATTTTTAAGAAGTCTACATAAATAAGTTAATATAACCCTGAGGTCTTAGTGACACCACAGTTTTCTATAGGGCCATGTCCAAAATTTGAGTATCATTTTGGAACTACTGGTTGTTTCCTTTTTATTCCACAAACAAATATCTTGGATAAAAATCAACAGCCGTACATAAAAAAAAAAGTCAGTTACTTCTTTTTTAGTAAAAGTAATGATTCTAACTCAAGAGTTAAAAGCATTTTTCTACCCTATTTATGGTAAAGAAAATCCACCGAACCAGCTGCCTTAGATGTAAGCTTTTAGTGATTAGAGAACACACACACATACTAGTTTTTACCTTCAATATCCTGGTTGTCTACGAAAGGCGCTGGTCCCCATATTCTAACAGTGCCATCATCAGAGGCGCTGGCCATCATGGATGGAATCTGCGGGTTCCAGCTCACACAATTAACAGTACGTGTGTGCCCTGTCAGCTCCGCAATTGGCAGCTCGCTACGCTTGTGCCAAATATATACTTTGTGATCTAAAAATATGCATTAAAAAAATATGCATTAACATAATGAGAAACATTGTTCTGCACAGACCCATTTGTCATATCAAGTAGCACTTCCACACAAGCGCTCAGCAACTAAAAAACCCATTAATGTTGTAAAACCCATGTCTGTTGAATGTGCAATAGCACTAACAAAATTTTTCTTCTAAAAGTGATCAAAAGAATATGGGTAAAGCTCTTCCACAAAGAAGCACGTTCCCTTTTAACACTTGCAAATCTATTACACTCGGTATTTGAAGAAAAACATTTGACTACAATGCAAATAAGCCAATACATGGCTAAAGAGAGAAACCAAGCTACTCTTAAATTAAAGATATGGAGTTGTAATCTTATTCAAAAGGAGTCTTGCAGATTTCCCCCCCCCCCCCCAACGCGTGTCCCCCCCCCCCCCAAACAATCTATTTACAGATTAGTACATGCATTATAAAGTCTGAGTACTAAGGCAGAATATTTACAACCACCACCTGTTGATGAGTACTAGATAAGACCACAGCTCTATAGTTTATGAAATACATCTTGATACTAAAGACCTAAAACATTCCAGTGAAAGTGCAAACAGAGCAAATGAGGGAGGGCAACAAAGCCTGATGTCTCAAATTGTGAGCTATTACTGTTTTTGACAACAATTAATTCTTATGTGGTACTTAAAGATACTAATGTGTACATATTGAAGTAGGTGCAATAAACAATGCTACAGATCTTATTTTGTGATAGGAAGCTTTTAATTACTTCTAGCAACGTGCTAGAAACAGAATAGTGAACTAGTCAGACACTCCGCTGCAATTTTTAGAGAAGCATCACTGCTTTACAACCAACCATATTTAAGAGTAAATGACTAAAGGTGGTGGTTTTTTTTCCCCACCTGTAGACTAGCAGCCTTTAACAAGTCTGTGGGTTGACCCCTCTAGGAATGTCTTTGGAATATTCCAAACAGAGCTATTACAAACAGAACAAGGGTGTATTACTCGTATTACACAGAAGCCTAGTATTTAGGTCTAGCATATCAAATGAAAGTATTTTAATCTGTTTGAAAGGTTTTAATGTAGATGTCATTCTGAAGGCTTAGCAAACCAATCTTCCTGTATTCCTCCTCTCAACCCCTTACAAAACAAACTTGCTCTCTGACCTACCTGCTAGAATAGCATCATGGAACCATGCGATAACTCAATTGTTTTCTGCTGAATCAGCTCATTTGAGTACAACACTTTTATATATACTTGCATTGATGCAAATGTTCTGGTTGTGTTTACATTCCACTTACGATTTCAAGAGACTACATATCCACGCTATTCATCAAACACCACAATTCACTCTCTGCTTAAACACTGGACACATAAGCCTCTGCTGTCTGGGAGAATCAAAGCCTAAACACAAACCAGTATTTTGGTGCTTGTCAGAATGCCTGTATTTTGTTTTGGAAAAAACAAGTTAGCTAGATTAAGACAGTCAATTTCCCTCTCAGAAAGAGTCCTCCATTTTGTTCCTATTGATGGAAGTGTTAGAAAAAAAACCTACCCAGCTGACAACATACCTTAAGTTTAAGAGGTTATGACAATGTAATCAATCTATTACTTTTTTTAAAAAGGCTATGACAATGTGATCTGTTATTTTTGTTTGTTTTGTTTGCTTGTTTTTAAGATACATAGACTTTCTCAGTAGCCACATTTTCAGTGCAAAGCGGCAACAGCTTCAGACAGTCCAGATCTAAATAGGGTGCCATCAGTTTCAAGTACTGCTCGGTAGTTTTTAAATGATGAAGATAATAAAGAATAAATAGGGGAAAAAATGGACTGGTGCACTGTAGTATCTACACCTACACATGCACATCAGTATGGCTCAAGATAAATCCTGAACTTTCAGGTACTTGGGTCCCAAACCAAGAACCTTGTTCAGCCATGAAGAGGTTCACACTGGATTGGAGGTGCTGTCCTTCAGTCATTATATTCCACTGGGTCTGGTAAGAGGGTGAAATTTGGTTTTATTTTGGACATATTTGGTATTTTCCAGAAAAGGATAGTAGTAATGTCCTGGCCAACCTTATTTCCTAACAGCTGTGAGTTACATAGTACTAACAGTGATCGCTTACATATTCCAAGTGTAATTCTTAGCCCTGCATAGGTTTGAATCTTAAGTGACCTCCATGGGAGGTGATGGCACTACATCAGTGACAGAACTGAACCAATTCAACATATAAACCATTAACTAATTTCTATTCTTGCCACAGACAGTTGAATAAAAACATACCACAAAGGCTTTGATCACCAGGAAACCCTACCAGACTACGTCAACAGCTGCTTAATTTGAGACTATGCTTAATTTGAGACTACTCCTTCCATAATTAAGCTGATGACTCTACTGAAATTAAAATAACCTCACCACACCTATATCTTCAACAGGCAAATGAAGCTGTTACTCCCCAGAAGTATTTTCGATTCAAACCATAAACCTAAGTATCATACCACAAAAAGAAAAAGCCTCAAGAACACTCCACCCACTTCTAATTAAAACCGTGCAGATGCTTTTGCTTTAGAGGAGCAATACAAAAGATTCATTAATGCTTTCTACTACTACCATCCTCTCAAAAGATTCTTTCTGCTAGCACATGATTATTTCTTGAAGTATGCCACAATCTCAGCGCTCTTCAAACTTACTTAATGAACCAGTTGCTTGCTTTTATAGACGAGAGCTGCTAACAACATTGTAAAAGTAAGGTATAGGAAGGATACAGTGTTCCAGTTTTCTGCACAAAAGGGAACGATGTTACCTTCGCTGCCACTCGCGATGAAATCTTCGTTATGACCTCCAAAACACGAGTGAATTGTGTAAAATCCTTGTGTAACACCTTGATACTTTCTCACTAAAACTCTGTCTTGTAAGTCCCATAAGTGAACTCCCTGGGAATAAGACGTATAAAGAATGTTATTGTATCATTAAACATTATTGCATTCTTTTGAAACACTGAAAAAAAAAAGAAACATGATGAAAGTACATTACTTCAGCCAACTTCAGTACTGTTACTAGATCAAGAGGGTAAAGATATACCAAATAACTAGATTAAATTTCCAGTCTGTGGTCCCTTTCATTTTGAGAGCTCCTATTCTTACCCAAGGTTCCAAAAGCAGAAATAAAGTCTAATTCTCACGCCCCCAAACCTGTCAACCTGCCACAATTCTTGCTGTACCTGGCTTCTCAATGCAATAGCCAGATATTAACATTTAATAGTACATTATTTCATAGTATGAAACTCTTGACTATAAATCAGTCAAAAAAATCAGTCTCAAGAATAAGATTGCCTTCTTGTCAGAGAATGCCATGCTATATTTATGAATATTAAGGCCTTCATATTACATGAAATACAACTGGTTAATATCAAACATGCCAATTCACATAAAAATATTTAAAAACAGGTAGCAGTTGCAAGCAGATTTATTTGCATTTCCATTTATCATTACCAACTCACCTGAGTTGCTACATTTAACAAAGCTAAACGGCCATTTTTTGAAATAGTAAACGACATAATAGGGTGATCTTCTTGTACTCTGAAATGGTAAGACACATCAGTGTTAAGAGTACACTTAACCAAACAATGATGCAATACCAAGACAAAAGGCATGTCCTGTCTCTGTAATATTATCACGGAAAGACAGTTCTGAATTTGAAATTAAGTATGTCTCTATGTCAGTACGAGCCAGGTCTGCAACAGTTTGCTTATACTTATGACAAATCCAAGACCAGAAGGGACTTCAGACCTCAAATCCAACTCCTAACTTCAAGGCAGGATCTAGTAAAATATGCCAGGAATTGAGAAGACAACAACTCTTGATGACAGAACTGTCAAAACATACAAAAGAAACCTACTCCAGTGCTTAAGTTATTTCTAGTACTTGACCTAATGCTTCTTGCCGCAACTGGAACTCCCTAATTCTTGTCCCATGTTATTCTCCTCTTAATACTGAGAGCATTTTAACAACTTATTTCCCATCCTGCCCCACAAATCCTTCCTCAATCTTCTTCTGACACTAAGAGTCAGGAATTCAAAACCAAAGAAAGAGGTAGTTACATGTTCCTGTCTGTAAGATCCTCAAAGTTATAACCCCGAATTCGCTGGTGTGTGTCCGATGCTAGAACAGTTTTCCCATCACTCAAGCACCAAAGGCATTGTACTCTCACCCCTTCCCAGGAGTCAAGGAGATTACCATCTAAATCCTGATCAGAAGGAAAAAAGAAAAAAAACAAAAAAAAAATTGAACTGTTAGTCTCAGATTTCTGAGGAGTTGACATACAAGTATCTTTTTCACCTTCTGTTCAGACAATTGCTACAGAAAACAATCTTACCCTGTAATAGAGAGGACTTAATGAATTAGGACATGGTTGTCTTAACCGAGGGCTTTTGTAGGTATCTGTCCCAGAGAGCTGAGAATCCCTTTCGTCACTTGATTGCACGTGTCATGCACGAGAAAGTTACGTCACATCACAGAGCCCACCTTTGCAGTGAGTGAGGTTTGCATACTGCACTATTAATCTGGGCACCAATTCAGATGACAAATAATCAAGGGTAGGGTGGATCACCGTGGACCACCACCCAAAATCAATACTAGTCAAGTAATGAGGATTTCAACTTTCTGTTTACACTAAGCAAAGACAGCACGCAAAAACTAAGACAGACATAGTCAAAATTCTGTGGAATAAACAACATTTGTGGACAAAGGCACTACTTTTTTAGTGTATTTTCTAGAGCAGCTAAGAAAAAAACTCCCAGCCCACAAATCCTCCTTTAGGCAGACAAAAGATGCTTGAACTCTAACTGCTACATACAGAAGTGCTGCTGAAATACTAGCATTAATGTATTGCTTGAATTAGAAAGGATCAGAAGTTTTAGTGTACACGCACATGAAAAAACCTGAAAAAACATGAACCTCAGATTTGACTGTGACAAAACTTTCATTTCTTGCTTTGTTTTCAATGGGACAGATGCAGAGAACTTACACACTGATAGAACTGTCCACGCTGACCTCCCGTTACAAAACGCTTCCCATCAGGATTCCAGGCCACACTTGTTAAACTGTCTTCATGAGATTGGCTCATCTTTGTCCTCAGCTCCCCAGTCTGGAGAATAAAAAAAAGGCAGCAAGGCCTTATACCAGAACCCTTTCCCAAAGAGTCATTGGTAATTTTATGTGAGATGCGTAGTGTTTGGAAGTGCATATGTTTCAACACATTTATTAAAAAGCAACACAAACCTATGAATAATGCAGTAAAAGGGCAGAAACTACTTCAGCGTCTCCAGTGACCCTGGACTTGATTTGGGACAATTTCTTTTGTCCCTCAAATCAAGAGAGATGGAATAGTCAGTGTGTCAGACAACTGGAAGACTATGAGTAAAGAGAGGAATTAAAAGAAGTTGGAAGAACACGGTGGGGGGCACGCAGGGTATGGAAAGCAAGGAGGCAGGAGGAGGCTAAAAGAAAATAGAGATGACAAAACACATTTTAGTAAAAAAATTGGGAGTATCAGTATTTAGAACATTTTCCTCCCCGAGCTGGAGCTCTCCATGCCAAAATTTAGCTGTCATCCCTAGCTTATGATGCTACTGTTTCACAAGACAGAGTGCCAATGAGTGGCTTACCATTGTCAAAACAGCAAGGGCTTCTCTCTATTCCCTCATGCCAGCTCTAGTGCTCTTCACTGAGCCAATTTAGTCCATTAAACAGAAGAAAAGTATTCCAAGGGTGAGAAAAGGGACCATTTTTGTTTTAGGAAACTAAATTAGTTCAGAGTCCAAGGCAGCACAAGAAAGACTACACAGTCCGCAACTGAGGCAGGGGAAGCTTTTACATCAACTCGAGTGCCCATAAAAATCAACAGCAGAAAAGGATTTTCAAATTCATGGAAGAAATGGCAAAATGCCCTAATGTCTGACTGAAAGATGAAGTTCTGAAATCATAAATTTAATCCTCTGGATCTTCCACTAACATCACTGGGTTACACAAAGTAAAAACAGCTTGTATCTTTTACTTTTGCTACTTGCTAAAATCTTCAATGAGCAATTGCTCCCCTTAGATGATAATTCTGCCTTCTGTTTCTCCTGATAATTTACTGTTCTTCTCTTCAATTGCTCTCTATGGCATAAATCCATAGGACCTTCCTTTCTCAGAAACAATCAGTAACCAGATACACTAGAATTGTTGCACAGTCCCAGGCACTTAGACTTGAACTCTAAATTTCAATTCTGTACAAACCGAGTACAGAATTTGTAGGTTGCCATAGTCATTTTTTCAAATTGAGTGGGGTGGGGAGATCAGTGTCTCTTCTTTACACTCGCACCTTTGCACAAGTTTGTAGAAATGACTTCTTTCATGCTTAACGGATTTAGATATTGAAACAAAAGCAGTAGGCTGGCCACAAAGTTTTATTTTCTACTCTTAGTCACCACTTACTTGTACATTCCAGAGCCAAAGCTCAGAACAATCATCTGGGCCACAGGCAACAAGATAGTTGTCATCTGGACTCCAAGCAATGTAAGAGACACCATATGCATGACCTTCTAACGTCTTAAGTAGTTTTAGCTGGTGAGTATCCTGAAACAAGAGAGATTCTGTTGAGACAATGCAAATGAACTCCTACTAAATTTCACATATACAGTGTGTCCAAGTACAGTACGGCAAGTTTGCTTTATGCAACTTGGCACCTGCATTTTACAAGACATATGAACAGGTTCTTACTGGAAAAGCAGTTGCTAGTTTACAGAGTAGGACCATAAAATGAAAGCTTTTAAGTTTCAACGTGCAAAACAGGAACACTTGTAGGTATTTTTGTTCTAATATTCCGTGATTCTGAACGTGGAATTCACACAATACTGTTGCGTACAGAGTTGTACATTACATTACACTTGCTTTAGTATAGAACATTTCTGTAGTGTCAAGTGTGTCTACATCTACTGGAATACAAAAGTACTATTATCCATATTTTACAGAATTGTTACTTTTAAGAAAATAAAGACATGCTGGAAGCCTGTTATGGTTAAACAGAGAACCAAAACCTTCATGCACGCTGAGAAGGGAAAACCTCCAAGTGCCAATGTTTTTATAAACTTGAGCATATCTTGTGCGTGCTGCTCAAGAAAGAAGTTTTACAGAAAGATATTTTTAAAAGCTTCCCTGAGAGGTGTTCTTATTTCAGAAGTATTGCCTACAGCAAGCTGTTGCATCTTTTCTGCCAGATTTAGTGAATGAAGCATACTTTGCTCACGCAGAGTATCTTGTATCACCTTTATGCTAAAACTGTTCTACTGCTGCCTTGTCAAAGGAACCTGACTTTCAAGCAGCTTATCAAAATAAATAGTACAGCTACATACTGTGAAACAACCATACACTGGCTTCCTAAATACAGAAACATGCTTCAATGCAGTATTAGCACTGATTCTTAACAACAACATGTGTATACAGAAAGCAGAAGCAAGCTTGTTAGACTGTTGACAGTTTTTGTGAAACCTCTTGGGAAAGGACTCATTTGAAAATCTAGCTTGATTTGTCAAATTGTCCCTTCTCTTTATTTTGTTTTAGTGTTACTCAGCACAACATCTCTTGATTCTAAAGAGAAAGAACATGGTCAACAGAGAAACAGAGTGACACGAAGGACTGTTTCCTGGGATCAGCTGCAAGGGATTTGGTGACTCTCAGCCAACCTGCAGCTTTGATGGTTCTGCTGGCTAGAAAAACTAAATTCCTCAAAAGAAAGTGGGCTAAGAATAATCTTCAAAGCACAGAGAAAGAGGGGCAAACGAATGTACCTCTTCAAGGTCCCTTTTCCATTCTAATTATTATTCCTGGTCTGCATTAGACACTGCTGTGTCTGTAGCTAAACTAATCTGCAGGAAACCGAGTCATGTCTGACATCATCTCACATCATGGAGCTTGCCTGCAACTGATGTATTTCTTTTTACATCAGGATTGAAGTAGCCTGTCACTTCCGCATCACATCTGAGACTCATAAGGAGCAAGATACATAGTATATTCCTCCTCTAATGATAGGACTTTGTGGCTGTTACTATCTCTCATGCTGCTCTCATAGTTCTCCAAATACAGCAAAACTGCTATACCATGTTTTGCTCTAAACCAGCAGTCAATGGTATTTCAGGAAAATGTCCCCAGATTTAGTCTATCTACTTCCCACCCACCACCAAAAGAAATCTCAGCACTTCCATCTCTTACATAGAGCTTCCCAGATTTTTGTTACGTAGAAGAAACAACTATTCAGGTATCAACTTAAGTCTGCAGTAGTTGTGCTCCTTGGCTGAAAAGCCAAAAACCTGTCTTTGTTTTTAGAAAGCGCAGGAAAAAAAAAAAAGAAGGTTTCTGTAAGGAACAAGTTAAAGGAGAGCTCTATCAAAGAAGATGCATGCCAGACAAGGTGATGCACCTACTGTGCTTATCCTTTGTGCTCTACAGATTCTGCCACACTTAGTAACATTCCACACACAAACCTAGTCCACTGAAGACATTACTTAATGCTGCTGAGTCTGCATAAGAACTTTGAAATGAACAAATGAAAATGAAAACAGAAGCATGGGTTAAGACAGCTTAGACACATAGCTGGATCTTCAAAAAGAAAATAAGTAGTAAGAAATCCATGGTATGAAATTAAGAAGACACATGGAAACACTTCAAGAGGTGTGATGAAGAAAAGAAAGGGAGAATTCCTGAGGATTCTCACAAACACGAAGCATGTGTGGAAAAAGAAATACTGTTCATTTAAAACAGTGTTCTCCCATCACTTGCCCAGACAGACTTGGACAGGTGTTTCCCTGTGGTTTATATATACAGATTAGAAAAATGCTAAATACCTAAAGCCTTGAAAACCTCATTAAACTTATGGTTCAAAAGACACTGTCAACTGCTACAGGAAATGTGAGAAGCATGCTCTGGAAAATATGAAAATGAACCACTTGAGTTATGTGGCCTAATGTTATTTAGGCATCCACCTCCTTGAAAGGGTTTCAAATTTTTTTTTTTTAAAGTACTCAAATATCGAAGATAAAACTCTACAAAGCTGCTTTCCCACTAACTATTTATTAGAGATTTTGTTCCTTTAGCAACCCTTGGCCAAAAGGGTTAGTCTAAAACACAAAACGTTTATTTGGTTTGATTAACCAGATGTTAGCTAACAATTCACTATAGAAGTGTTAATCAAGATGTTGGGTATTAAAACCCATCAATATAAAAGGAAGATGTGCCTCTACAATCAAGAGACAAGTCAACAGCAAAAACATTTAATCCTTAATTTACTTAGAATTACTGTTTAAAAAAAAACCAAACAAAACCCCAAAAAATACAGATGATTTCCTCAATAAGTAACAGAAGTCAGCTTATCCTGCTATGCACCTCTTGGCCCAGAGCAGACTGGCTCCAGTAACAAACAAACCACAATGGTTCTATGCCTGAAAAATCCATAGCACTTGCTGTTAGTTCAGGGGCTATATAATAACTATGCACATGGAACAGGGTTTTAAGTTCTCCCATCTTGTTAATAGCAAAAAGGACTCAAGTTATATGGCTTCCTAACCTGTAGTGGAAGAAACTGATTAAGTTCAGCTCTCAAATCCTACTGAAAGCCAGTACGGAACTGCAAAACCCTTTCCATCCTCCACTTAGCATACCAGCTTGCAGTTGTGTGGTTAAAGAACTGTAAGAATCTTATTTCTGATAGTGTTTTACAAGCATTAACAACTTCAAATATTGTGTGCATACGTTCAAGTTTATTCAGAGTTTTCAATTGTTATGAAATATATGGACATACTTTCATATCACTTCTACGAGTCAATTAAAACAGTCTTAGATTCACCGCTCAATCTTTTTATTTACATAAGAAAGATAAATCTTGTAGCTGTAGGATATTTCATATAAGAGAAACAGTGCCACATATTAGTACCAAAACCTAAAACAGCAGTCTGTAAGAAAACGGATGGGTATACTTCCACGTGTCAGTGGATTCTGACAAGTGTTTAAATCTTCATCTCAAGCCAAGGCAAATCTTATAACAGCAACCAGCATGAAGTGGTATACTGATACAACTTCAGTTTAGTACATACCATTTTATTACTCAGCAATAAAGTAATAAATGGTGAGCTGGATAGAGCATTTAAATCTAAGTGTACTAGTAGTAACAAGGTAACAGGAAGGGGTTAGTCACATACACAGATCAGGAGTACTCTTACTAAGAGTGATTTAGAAAAAAAGGTTCCTCACTGCCATGCTCCTTCCATTCTCACCCAATGCTTCTCAAGGCCTTCAAGCTGAGAAGCTGCCCTGGAGGGCACCAGCAGGCTCTACCTCGTGGTACTGGTTAGGGGCACACAAAGCTCCTGCCCCAAAGCAGCCAACAGTTCAACTCTTACACTCAGGCATCAAGTTTTCAAGTCTCCTCCTTCACTAACTTACACTGACTCTGATCTTCAGTCTTTTACATCCCAGAGAAATACCCTAGTTGGCAGGCTACAGTACATATTAGCCCATCCTACAAAAAATCAAACCATCCTAGCAAGAGAAAGCAGGGAGGGAAGGGAAAGACAAGTCATACACATTTTAACTCATTGCACACTTACTGGATCAACCTGCCATATAATAACAGTTGTGTCCTTAGATCCTGTTGCTAGTTTAGTGCCGTCATTGGAGAATTTACAGAACCACACTTCATTACAGTGCTCCGTTAGTATCTGCTGTGTATAGCATGGGAACTGTTTCCTGGGAAAAGAAGGGGATGTATTCACAGATTAATAAGAAAGCAGTAAGAGATTTTTTAAATCGATCTAGTAAAAATTAAAGCAAAAACTTATTTAAATGCAAGATCAGACAACTTAGAAAATTCATCTATTAACAGCTGCTTCAAATAAGTACAGAATGAAGTGTCTTATCTAGTGAAAAGCTCACAGCACCAAGTGATTGTAACTAGTTGTAAGAACTATTCTTATTCCACTCACATAATTTGTTATGTTTTCATATAACTTGGAATAAAACTGACCTCATTAGGAGTGTAACAGCTTATTACTATATTTTCTACACATCGTAGAAGTGTACTGGAGTCCAAACCTCTTTGAGCCCTACATGCAATGTTTTATTTACATGTGAGGTTTTTGTAAGTACCTAACTCACTTAGCTGTATCTTGCCAAATCTTTAGAAGTGATTCTTACATAAAAACTGAGTAAAAGTAGTCTTGTTTCTTTTTCTTGAATGCGCAAGTTAGGTGTTTCTTTGCCTTCATTTGGTGCCATTTTTCACTTTCTTTGCAGAGTACCACACACACAATAGCTAAGCATAACTAACATGATACCATTATGAGCTTTCAACTTGAACTGTTTTCCCTCACAAAAATCTACATTATTTTGTAGAACATTAAGTGTTTATCAAACAAAATTTTATATGATAAACTACTGAAGGAGAAGAGTCAAACGTTTCTCTAGAGCTAATATTTAATCTTCTAGTTACACACTGAGGAAAAGCTAACAGTCAAAATATTAAGTTAGGTAAGAACTGAAGACAAGTTTTATTTTATTTACAGCTTGCCCACTGTATAAGAATTTGAGAGCTAAGCTAAAATAAGTGTAGGCTTTTACAGCAGATGACTGCTTTTGTAAGTAATACTGCAGTAACTACAAGTTCATTGTTCAGATGCACTAAGAGGCAGTCTCTAACCACAGGCATTTTTTCTTGAACTGCAGGGATCCTGAAGTGGTTTAGTCTTATGTTGAGTTTTTATGGTGCTCAGTGCAACGGGGCAACACAACTCTAATGGGACACAACAGTACCAATGTAACAACAGTCTCTGTGAATGTACAGTTATACTTGTCACTGGAGATAAAATGGCCTAAAAAAATAACTACTTCCTTTAAATTTGTGTTTAAAAATACAGTTTAGTGGTAAGCCAGAACCTGAAAAACTACTTCTTACCAGAAGCTAGAAAAAATTCTGCTTAATACAGTGCCTATACCCTCTCAATCCATTTTCTTTTACTAGAAGATGCTTCCTAGTCCATGCTTAAAGACTATCGAGCAGCACTGAACAGCCATACATCCCTCGTTTCCTGTCGTATGGTAGAGGAGGATAAACAAGACATACATATACATATCTGTAGTTGGCTTCCTTGGGTATGTCTACTTACTCATTTATAGAGAAACACAAGTCTGTTCTGCTCCTGCTTCAAGCTGACCAGGAGCTGTCTAGTTGCCACTGGAACAACACTGAGCCCAAGGTAAAAAGCCCCACCCATGAAAGAAGACTTTGTCTTCCTTGAAGTTTAGAGGGAGGTAGACAAGCCCTTACCTTATGTGCACCTACAGGAAGAGCATTTCATTATTATTTAACCATATTATAATAAGTTACTGTTTTTCCTCAGAGCAGCAATCTGCTCTAGAAGGTGAAAGTCTTTACCCTTAACTCATACAAAGTACAAGGGGCACACTGTGTCCCAGGAAAGCCTTTTTGACATATTTCATTTAAAAAAATACTCTATAGAACAATAGCGCTTGTATTTTAAAGCTTAAGAAAAGCAGCCAAGGTTTTGCGGACATGAAAAGTAAGCAGTATAATGCTGGAAGTACACAATTTTCATAGTAAGGTGGCCTTTAGGTTTCTAAAAAGGGTAACAGGCACAGCTGATATCGCTGCTGCAGACACATCCCAATGCTGAACTATGCTATTCACAATCCAGTCAGATCAGAGTGCTCTCACAAAAAGTTCTCTTCACTTAACTAATGAAACATACAATCCAGCAAGTTTGAGCTCACAGACAGCAAAGCATACATTAAATAACCCTTCTGCAGAAGGAAATAGCAGCAGTCTCGAAACAAGAAACCAAAACCAGTTGTCTAACAGTTCCCGGTTTTGGTAATTAGCTATTGTTGTCGCTCAAAGGTTTTTCTTTTTTTCTTTTTTGAAGTGTTTCATTACAAATTGTTCTGTTCAGCACAACACACTTGAATCATGTTGTTCACATACTGAAATAAAGTCTTTAATAAAGTTATCTGTTGTTGTATTTACAGAAGTTCAAAATTCTAAATAAAACACCAAACACCTACTTTTTTATTCCATGTACATACAATGGAAGATTTATTCTCAACTTCCACAATGGTTCTTTTTCCAAAATGCTACATTAAACTAGTACCTAGAAATCGGCAGCATTTACCTCTCATTTGGGCTTCACTGTTTGTTTGTAAACTCAGACCAAAGTTTATTTATGTGAAATCAAGACAAAAGAATTCGGGGGGGGGATGGACACCAAACAGAAAGCCCCCACCCAAGTAGGCTGAAGGCTCTCAAAACCAAAAATGACCACTCCCAAGAGCGTCAATTCTGTATTATCAAAATCTCAGGCACAATAAGATGAAATCCCTCACCTTCACTCCCAGCGGTTTCTCCCTTTTATCTCCCACTCTTATGAAGTGATTAAGTTTTAGTTAAACATATTACCTATTAGTGCAATTCAAGCATGCTTGATCAAAATATTGCCAGAAGTCCAAAACAGATTAGTTCCAACTAAAAAAAGGGAAAGTTGTCAGTGTTCTATCATTTAAGTAGTACAGAACTTAAATTGTCTAAGCTATTAGACTACTGTTACTTCTGTCAGTTTAATCAAAATTTGGCTTCCACTGTCTTTAACTCACCTCATTATGCCCAAGCATGGCAGCATGTACAGCGCACCACATACTGATCTCAGACCCCTGCAACAGGTAGGTACAATAGGTTGAGTTGAGGACAGAATGGAAGCCTTTATTTTGAAGTGGTTTTTTATGGAATTAAAGTAGTCATGAGTATGTATGCATGTATACATACCAAATATGCAAGCTTAGGAAGTACCACATTAGGTAAAAAAAAACACACAAAAAAACCAACCCCACTATGGCCAAACTTATGTCAGCAAATAGATTCAGATGGGTGAAATTCAAGTACAGATTTGTTGCATATATCTTTTATATCCGGCTCTAGCTAGTCTGACTTCAGTAAACCATGCTCTTTACAGCTGGCTTGAATGCTCTTTCGGGTTTGATTAATCACATCAAACCCCTACAGAACATCCAGTGTTATTTATGGACTTGTAGAAAGACTAAAATTAAATCTCTTTCCGTTAGTCTGATTTTAAGACTCACTTCTGAAGTAGGAAAGCCACAATTCCAGTATCTGATTATTTCCAATAGCTCTTAAAATGGGGAACAGTCAAACGTCCACGCACAAACACATGAAACTGCTGCAACAAAGTGATGTAGCAAAATTGCAAGCTAGGCAATAGTCTGAAAAAGTTACTTGAATACATGAAGTGCCAAGGATATTAATTTTAAAACCTCAAGACGGCTACAGTGAAGTACTATGGAAGTCTGCATCTTTAAAAACAGATTCCAAGTCACCCAAGAATGTAAGTCAAAGCAGCTGAGTTCAGAAAACTTCTATAAGCAAGTTTATCCGTACTTAACTTCCTCAGATGAGCTAACCTTAACATGAAAAAAAATTCCCCTGTAAACTCAAGCGCTGGCCTGTTACATGAACAAACATATAAGGGTATCATATACAGCCCTTATTTTCTAGGTGTCCTAGCACTCATTCCCTTATTACACCATGCACAGCAGTTTTCCATAAAAGCTACACTGAGTTTTTAGGTCCTTGGCCAAGTTCTGCCAGATGAGGAAAAACCACTCAAGTCAGCCATTTGTTACAAACAAACATCTTCCTGCTTCATGTCTACTAGAGTAGAGCATTTTGAAGATTCAGAAGCAGCACCAGTTTCGTTAAAGTGTTATCCAGATAGTCTTAAGAGCTAATACGTAGGTATAAGAGACATTCAATTCTTACTACCTTACAAATCTGAGAAAAATAGTTCTTTATAATAATTCATACTATATATTATGTAAAACAGAAGTGTCTATTGCACATTTCTACTCTGTTTTAACCTTTGTGTCTAAAAGCACCTCACTGTCCCCTATTAAAAGTTGAAGTTTAAAGCTGACTTCATGAAGTATGCTTCAGTAGGCTTTCTGCATTCCAGCAAGCTTGAAGACAGAGTCTGGATAAGTAACATACTAGTGATTCTTCAGTGAAAAAACACAGCAATCGCATGTTGACAAATAAACAGACTGGCTGTCCAAAATTACAAGCAGCAAGTAGCTAAGGATTAGTTATATATAGCAATATATTCTGTTCATACCCATCTGATTAAAGTTTTAAAGCTTCAGTCTGACCCCATTACCCCATATCCAGCTACCAAAGTTTCTTATACACACCTTCTCTACTCCTCCCCCATTACTCTATTTAATGAGAACTGTCTTTTTCCAGTCAACTCCTGTTAAACCAACTCAGAATAGTTTTCGGGTTCCTTTTAACAGTAGGTACAATTAGATTATTTTAAAAGACAAGAAGAGATATTGTTGCCCATCTTAAAAGTAGCAAGGGTTTCTTACCTACTACAAACATGATCTATTAGCAGCGAGACAGAATCTAGATTACTATCTAGTTTGGTATTATGATATAGGCACCGGTCCCGTTGTAGTTCCACAGCCTGACGTAGCAGGTTCTGTAAACGCCTTGGAGGAAGCATCACTGATGGGGGTAGGTACGCTTTAAAAAGAGTTAGTAAGAAAAACAAAAAGACAAAATATCAAAACCAAGTTACAACTAAGAGCATATTTTGATTTGAGCATTTTTGGAAGAGATCTTAGTAAATAAATCTTAAAAGCTATAGGAAAAGAGTGCACACAGCTTGTCAAATTTACAGCTATACCTCTGGAATTAGAAGCATTAACAACTTCTGGAAAGCAGAGCTGTATGCAAGGCATTTGTAGTTATAGTATATGTTGTCCTGGCCAACAAGCACAATTTACACAAGCTAACTCAAAACCTAGTATTTAGTAAAATCTGTAAAATTGTAAAACAACAACATCAGCTGTGTTCATTTAAGGAATTCTCTAGTAACACTATCAAAATAAAGAATAGCATAGGTTTTACAACTCTGATACATAGTATTCCACCAGCCACAAGAAACAGAAAGGAGAAACCATAATTCATAGCAAAGTTTGAGACCACTATAAACCAGTACTAGTATCACCAGTGGTTATAGGCCACACTTAGTTTCAACCTCTTAGTGTAGCTGGCATTTACAAAACACCTCCCCCCCACCCCAAACCGCACATTTAATCACCAAGTTATACTATTACTGCATGCAGCAGAGCTAAGAAATAAGAGCGCCTATTACAAATAGTTTATCAGAGACAGCAAAAGGTTAGATACAGAAGACCAAAGGGTAAAGGCACCCCCATTAACCAAGAAATACAAAACCAACAACCAGCAAATGCAGTTAAAGTCAGTTTCCTGGGATACGTCATTATGTAAGATGTACTGGATTTACAAAGGTGGGAATAAATTCTAAACACTAGAACATCTTACTCTGGAGCTTGTCCAAAAGTTTAGATCTGGAAGCTGTTCCTTTCCCTTCCCACTCTGCTTTTGCACGCAAGTCTTCTGCATGGCTACACATCAGATACCTGTTTAAAAAAGCGCACACACACCAACAGACCAAGTCTTTCTGGAATCATTCTTTTCACTTTTAAGCATGATCTATATTATAACATTCTTAATGAACTGGAAATAGGTGACTTAAGCTTGAGACCGATAGGAAAAAAGGCAGGGAACTATTCCACACAAACACACATCATCTTCAGAACAAATGTCTACAAATTGGCAATGGAAAAAGAAAAAAAAGAACAGAACAGATGTTAGGGAAGGTAGAAATGTCTTCTTTTCATCTACGAACAAACCAGACTATATTCACCTACTTATTAAATGATAAGATAACAGGCTAATAATTTTCAAGATCAGATGACCATACATGTGTATGTATTAATTTGGGTTCTAGTACTATAAGAGTATATCATAATCAGGTTATTTTCAAGTATCTGAAACAGAACATTGTCTACCGAATAGTCTTCTTTACTCACCATTTTAGCATCTCTCACTACAGCTTATTAATCAACAGGATAGTAGCTTTAATACAGTTTGAGTTTTTACAATGTCAGCTATAAGAAGCTATAGAATCTTAGAAAATTCCACCGAAAGAGCTCTCAAAGTCCAAACACTTACCCACTGAGGACATGAATGCGTTCTGTATTATATTTCAGAGGCGTCAGTTCACAGCGTAGAACTTGAAGTGCCTCCAGGACCTTGCCATCCTCCAGGTATTCCAGGTACTTCTGCTGCAGCAGCAAAAACTTCATCCTCTGACATGACAGAAAGCAGCAGTCAGGGGAAAAAGGTTGACTGAAGTTTCAGAAAACGTTTGAGCCTAAACAGAACAGTAGAAACCATTCTACTATGCCCTTCAGAAATACAGCTATATGTAATGTTTCATTACTCAATTTCTTTTTGCTGGGTTTTCAACAACATTGCAGCAATTAAGTTATCCATGAATTTCCTTCCTGCCTTACGGGACTCCAAGTACCTTCCTACCTCATTTCTCAGATTCCCCCCTTCAACTTGTTTCATTTTCATACTCACTCCCTTTTCACTCACCATTCTTCAAACCCTGAATTAGACAGGCTTCCCAATCTTACATTCTATCAAGAAAAGCACCCAAAAGCAGCTAATCACATATTTAAGACTGCATGACAGCACAGAACACAACAGGCTAACTCAACAAGTTCTCATACTGCTTACATAGGAGCTGACATGGATTGTTTGCATAGCTGCATAACGTATAGCAATAACAAATTGACACTGCCTGAGGTTTTGTTTTGTAGTTCCATGTTAAGTTGTTTTCCTTGGATGCTGTATCATTTTTCAGGATTACAGAAAAAAAAGTTTCCTATATTTAGGAATCACTTCACTTCGCAGAAGTAATCACTTCTATTTCATAGTGTTCTTTTAATCTTGTACAGTTTTTAGTTGTTTTCTTTAAAAAAAAAACAATCAAGCCGGCTATTCTAACAACAAATGTCTGTGGATAAAAGAAGAAAATCAGGCATTCATTTATTATATTGAAAAATCCGAAGTCCTACAAATTTCTAATAATCAAACTGTGTTTCTAATAAATTGGTGTTTCTGGATGAAACCAACTATTCTGTTTGCACATCATCTTTACTGCTAGCAGTTAACAGAGAGAAAAGCCATTTCTGGTCCACAAGACTCACCAGGTTAAAGAGGAAAATGTACATTCTTAGACATATCAGTGAGAAACAGAATGAAGATTAAGTGTAGCAAATCACATTTGCTTTTCTAATGAATACACACCATCAGTTCAATCACCAGTTTCCTTTGCTTTGTCAGACCTCAGAGACCTCACTATTTTCATGCTCATATTTGGTCAATGTTTACTCAGTTTCAAACACACTGCTAGCCTCCTTAAGTAGAGGGATAATCAGGAAGTTTAAGGTGCTCCTGTCCTATTAAAGCTTACATGAAAGTTTAAGGCTCACTATATGTAAAATCCAAAGTTAAAAGACAAAGCAGTTTTAGCTTCCAGAGATGTTCAGTTCTTCAAAAGAATGAAGTTTCCACATACAGTGCTATTAACTTACCACACAGCTTTGTGAAGCATAAAACATTACATAGTAAAGATGATTTATGTTCAAACACGTCTGTAGTACTCTCTTGTCCTGTACATGACAGGCAAACCCATATTACATTCCCTATCCAGCTCTTTAGTTTATTTGAATTTGGAATTGTTAGAGCATCACTGTGCAGTTTTTCCAGGCGAGACAACATTTTTTGGTGTTCTGACATGTAGAAAACCAGAAGAAAGACATCCCAATTATTTACAACCTCAGTGCTTGGTTCCATGCAGCTGGTTCCAGCAGACCTCACGCTGTTTGCTTATATGCTAGCAGCAGGAGGGATAAGAGCTTCCTCTCCCAGCTGTGCACATGCTCACAAGGATGCATGGAGATGCTCAGGTAGTAGTCACTCCTCTTGGTCACCTCACACTGATGGTCACCACCAGATAAAAAAATAGTTTTGATTACAAACTGGAAATATCAGACTATAATCCCTCCGACTCTTTCTTCTCCATTCACTGCATATAATATTTAATAAATTTATATCACCTTTCCCTCAAGTGTGATAACCATATCTGTATCTAATTACTCTTTCTCCCTCCCTACTTTTAGGACATGGCACGTTAATTTCACCTCTTTAGAGGAAAAAGCAAGAAGAGCAGAAAACCCTAAAAAACAGCTTTTATAACGCCAGTCCCAACAATTCCACAGAAGCATTACAGGAACACTACCATGCAGAATGCTGGTGCCAAGTTATCCAAAGAGGTATAACTTCAGTTTTGGGTTAGGAAATATAATTTCCAAAAAAAGTCATCGGTGCCATGTGTGACTTTGGCATATTAGGAATATAAAAGCCTCCAGAACAACACAGTACTGTACATTTCATGCAGGAGTCTACTGTTAACATAATGGAGAATTAGAATAAAAGATAAGCAGGTTTAAATTGTAACTTACCTATAACAAAAGGTAGGGACTAAAGTGTTGATAGGGAAATTAAATTGATTTTCTAAGCTATTTTGATAACTGCTCCAAAACTTGCCCTACAGCATACTCAAACAGTGGCATGAATACAGCCTCCTTAAGGCAAAAGTCACACTCCAGTGACATCATATTTCAAGTAATTTTTTTGTATCACACACTCACAGCCTCCTACTACTTGTTTTTGTGCAACTATTGACTTTGCTGACAAATAGATTTCACTGAACAACTGAATTTTGTCTTCATTTTCTCTTAACTAATCATATGCCCTACTAATAGCACTGCTAGTTACTTCCAATACCACCTTCTCATGGTAGACGATACCATTTTGAGTACATCATCTCTGCTAGAGCCCAAACAACCTCTTCTAGAAGGAAGGAGAACCGTTTATAATATTGGCAACTGTAAAGTAAAAGCACAAACCCCTCTATTTAAGTAGAGCAGAACAAGTATAAAACTAATCTGACACAATGCACCCACAAGAACAGCTTACTCATTCTCCATATTCTTTAGCTGCCTTCCAAAGAAGGGAAATAAAAATTATCATAATCCAAATCATACCATGTACAACATAATAGAAGTGCCTGGGATTTGTTCTTATCTCAGTGTTTACAACGGAAATTCAACATCATTACACTCTTTACTGTTGAACAATTTAACCAGACACCACCATCACTTAGCTTGTAACAAAGATTCTTCACCATGTAGGACCCATGGAAGAGTCCAATACAACAGTTTCTGCACTGCAGTCTGGCTGGTTTTGTTTAGTTATCACTACCTCACCCTGTCTTTCAACTCTATAGAGAGGATGAGGATAAAGTGCATTACTTTGTTGTTTCAAGAAGCTATTATTTAAGTGTAAGTTGAACCTCTGATCACCCTGGGGTAAAACCAAGAGAGAATTAATAGATTTACAGGGTTTTTTTGTTTGTTTTAATCTATGTACTATTAGCATTTCGCTTTCTTCAAACTACAGCCTTCAATTATTAACATGAATGTTTAATACTTTACTCTTTCGTTGCCCTAATTGTTAGTAGGAAAGCCCCTTCCTAGAATTTAAGATTCTGCAAGTTTTGCATGCACCATGATTCACCAGCACAAAGTAACCAAAGGTGAAAGCCTCAGCAGCACAACTGTGAGAATAATGGGACAAGCATCCTATCACAGTCAAGAAATTGGGCCATTTTGATCACTGGTTACAGTAGCAAATCTTCAGAAGTTTAAAGAGTAAAATGTATAAGAACCTAATTTTAGGATTAGATTTTGGTGTTATTTTTGACCTGCATATCTTAACAAGCTCCACAACAGTTTTATTACTGTACTAAGAGTTCAAAATAAATAAGTAAACACTGCTGAAACAACTCTTCTTTGAAATGAAGATAACTAAAAGACATGCTGAAATTATCAGCTGATCTTTCAAGACAAACTCCATGCAGTAGCTATCTGCTTATAGCCTGCAGAACTAAGACCCTGATTTTAATTACTTTGTAGTCTTTATTACTTTGACAGTCTTGTAAAACACTAATAAAAGCACTTAAAAACCATCCAAAACTTAAACATAAGATTTGATACATAAAGGGCAGAAAATATTCCGACCTATAGAATTTAACAAGGCTTCAACCATACCAAATCCTGCCGCTTAAAGAGTAATTCATTCCAATAGGGAACTGCCCTTAATGCTGGTAGCAAGAGGGACACCATACAGGCAGGTGGAGCACTCTGCTCAAACAACAAGATATTAATTGCTTTTTTTGTTGTATTGCCTGCTGCGGGCTGTATACCTCCAGAACTGGGAGAAAGCCCCATTTAAGTAAATGAAAATAAAAAGTAAAGAGGACAATTTGAAAGTATATTCTAGATGACTATAGAGGAATAATCTCCACATTTCTTCCTAGGTTCAATTAGTTAACCAAGATAGGTGCCATAATATGCTCAAGTAGCCCTAAAGTAAGCAAAACCTTGGGCTGGCTTGAAGCTGGTATTTTCTAAGTGTTACTCAAGGGAAAATAACATGCTTGAATCAACTATAAAGTTTTCCTACAGTTTTTCTCAAGACAGCTGTATCATATATACTGGAAAAGTAAATGTGACTAATCACACACTATATAGCACTCAGTTGTGTTGACACAAATAGAAATAGCAGACTGTCATCCCCACCCTCAACATATCAACACACAGCAAAGGTTTACAAATTGAGATCAGCCATTTCATGTTTAGTGTTTTCACCGGTAGAACTTACAGCACTTTGCAGAAATAAGGAAATTAAAACAGGAGTAGAATTTTCAAGATACATACGTATCCCCTTCACTGACCAGACATTTCAAAAGCAGCTATATAGCCTGGTTATTTTGTCCAGGGTCATATAAGGGGAAAAAAAAACCCACCAAACCAAAAAACCAAACCACAAACCAAAAACAAACCACCAAACACACACCCTGCTTTGTTAAATACTCTGTGTCATCTAAACTTTTAGGTACCCATTCTTCTTGTATGCACACATTTTTGAAACATCTAGTCATACAGTATGAGTCACAAGTCAGGAAACCCAAAATCTAATTTTCTGTTTTTAAAGAGTTACCTGCAGCAGCATCTTGTTTGGACTTTCCCTAATCGAGACATTTATCATCTTCATTAGCTCTGACTTTGTTGCAGTCGGGACTATCTACAGAGCACAAAGCATCCTTCCTTACCTGTAATGATCTTTCACTAGTTCTCCAGGTGCTGACTATACTAATACCCACCCATAATCTCAACCACGTACAAAAAAGATGGGTGGGGAGGGAGGTGGAGACAGTGCGCACATGATGGAGCACACACGAGCTCAACTTATCCTTGCAAATCAGTATTGTCTTACTAACACACACACACGTAAGACATTTAAGAGTTACCTGTTTTAAATTTATGAAGTTTATATAAAGAAGAACAACAACTTTAAAAAGAAAATAGTTAATATTTGGTTCAGGTAGAGTTCAGTGTAAACTAAGTATTTTTATTGCACCAAGTTTTATTCAAGCAGTTAGACATCAACATTAAAGCAGAGCATGCTTTCAGAGCCCTCCAAAACAACAGAATGAAAACATCCCCTTTTTCCTCAAATTAAGTTCTCCAAAAAGTACAATGCTGATACTCAGTTAAACTTCTTGACTCCCAGACACGTAAAACATTTTAATACTACAGAGAAACTTGATAACTTCAGAAGTTTGAAACATGAGAAAATCTGCTTCAAATGTCCATTCATATTCACATACAGTGGTTTCATACTTTCAGTCTCCACAAACTATTGAAAGCTGCATGCAATATTTTAAACTATTTGAACAGTAAGTCTTATGTATATCAAGTCTCTGAGAAAAGAGAAAGTGAACTACTAGTCTAATTAAGAGGTGCTAAGCTTTGACCAAATTAATAGAACAGAATGTAAACTTCTCTCAAGTACCCTCTGATGTTTTGTTAAACATCTGTTTTTCCTACTTCACTTCCTGTTCTCTCTCTCTCCCTCCCCCACCAGACAGGAAATTGTCTTGACAACAAATGAATCAGCTAGAAGTGGAGCTAAGCAGCCATCAGCTGATTCTTCATTGTTTACAGTCACAGACACTTCAAAAAGCCTTGCTACTGTTTTCTTCCTAAGTGACCATAGTTCTAACTTCACTTCGTTAAAACGTTTAAGCACAACAGAACAAGCCGTTTGAAGAGCTAAGTAATGATTTTCATCTCGAGATAGAAAAAAAATCAAACCAAGGAACACTTTCCTCAAAGTAACTGAAATCATAACAACACATATTGTAATTGCCAAGTCACAGGATCTACCAACCTTTTATTTCTAGGTTCATCTTTAAAAAAAAGCCAGCCAAAGAGAAAAAGCTCTAAATAAAATCCCAAACAGCAATACAAATGCATTTGCTCTTTAGAGCATCTGGAAAAGCAACAGTATTGTTCATGGACTATAGCAGCCTCTATATTCTTGTAATGTGCTATTACAATGCCAACTCCACATTAGTATTACTGCATTTTATTTCTAAACTTCTATTCCCTCAGGAAAGCCTAACTCCCATAAACACAGAGATTATGAGAAGTATTTCAAGTTTGAAATTAGTATTCAACATAGGCAGTTTCTACAGAAACTGACCTATTTTAGGACTGTTACAGGATTTATATTTTATCAGTTAAGTATGTTTAGTAGAGTTTGAACATTCAGTACACCAAATATTAGCCTCAATACTTTTGGACTTCCTATCTCACATTCTAAAGAAGAATAAAAAAAGTTCAGATTAGTATGACGTTTGAGATAGCACGCAAGCCGCTTAAAGTAAACAAAAAAGAAAACAAGAACTATGGACAACCAACTCCACAGTGAAAGATTACACCACTACAATTAGCCCAACTATACAGCTCTGAAAGAGTTCAAGTGTGCCTCTTACCACAATTGCATGCGGAGAATGCACTAAGGCCTTAAGTTCATTCAGGTCGTTCTCAGCCTGCAGAAATCGGCATAAGAAAAAAAAAAGTATATAAGGAGGGTGGATTTTGAATTCTCTCACAGATACTATAAATTTAAACAGTGGTTAACACAGTCCTATAAGCCCTACGTTACCTTATCCCATTCTCCTTCCATGACATGATTGCGGAATTTGGTAGCAGAAGGATGTTCTAAACGACATCCTGACTCTTGCATGAGAAGATCAACAGTCTGGCTGCAGGAGAGATACAGTGTAAAAAAACCCGACCAGTTTTACCCTCACAAATATACCGCCTGCTATGATAACAGTTAACCATATTTAAAAGTAACTTTAATAAAGTAAGAATACTACCACCAGATTCAGATGCTTGTCCAAAAGGACAACCTCAGTTTCCTGAGACATGTAAACAGCTACCTATATCTAAAGCAAGTTGTCAATGAGCTTGAAAGCATCGCTGAAGTACCATGAAGTATGTGACTTACCAGCCACCACAAACAGCCATCCCTGCACAGAAGATAAACTTCATGAAGGAAGATACAGACTAGAAAGCTGTTAGCTACTGGCTGCTTTTACTACATCTGCAACAGGCCTAACTTTCTTCTTCATCACGTATTAAAAGACTGGCTCCTTAAAATAAAATAAACAAACTAATGAACCTGTAGCCCTCCCCCTTTTACACTAAAAATAGCTTATTTACTGTGGTGTCATCTATGAACAGTCACGAGTTGTCTGCTGCTGTAAACTTGCCTCTTCTGTCAGAAGCAATTTATTTTATGTGCTAAGTTCTTTATAATTGGCCCATTCCACAGTGTTTTGAAGACTTCTTTTGTGGTAGCTACATGAAGATTTTACAGGACTTCTCTAGCCTCCTTCCAAAAATTATGATGTGTTGGCTTTAACTTTACTCACAGAGTGAATGTTGTGATTAAATTCTTAGACTTCCCCTACTCCACTGGGAAATTATTTTCCCTATTCTGATTTTAAGAAAGAGCCAACATACTCTTTTCTAGTCTACAGCTAAGATTATTAGCAAAAACATGCATCCAGCACAAATCTGCAGACGCCTTCACCATTTTACAGGGACGAAGGTTTTCAGAGTGAAACCAAACAGCCTATTTAAGTGGCAGTTCAGTTTGTGCTCGCTTCCTCCGAGCTGACAAGCCAAATCTTGGAGCTCATCTGCAAAAAACCACCCCCCCCCCACCCAGCTGCGGGCTCCATTATGTTTACCGGATAACTTCTCCCCCACTAACACATTTGTATTGATCTACCCTTATCGGTGTGCAACTCGACTTCCATATTGCCATCCCTGGCAGAGGAAGCTCCCGGCCTGTCCCTTCGCAGACGCCGAGCTGACCGGCACAGGCTTGGAAAACACATCTCCGGCTTCGTTTTTTTGCGAGCGGGCCTGCCCCGCTGCTCTGCCTCGCACCCAGGCACTGGTCTCTCCTCTTTGGGGACTACCAGGCTGCCACAGGGCAGATT